CTTGTCATAATATGGGTGCTTACAGACCTGTCATAATATGGGTGCTTACAGACTTGTAATATGGCCGAGTAGAGGCTTGTCATAATATGGGTCAGTGTAGGCTTGCCATACTATGGGTGCTTACAGGCTTGTCATAATATAGGGGGCTTACAGGCTTGTCATAATATAGGGGGCTTACAGGCTTGTCATAATATAGGAGGCTTACAGGCTTGTCATAATATAGGGGGCTTACAGGCTTGTCATAATATGGGTGCTTACAGGCTTGTCATAATATAGGGGGCTTACAGGCTTGTCATAATATGGGTGAGTAGAGACTTGTCATAATATATGTGCTTACAGGCTTGTCATAATATGGGTGCTTACAGGCTTGTCATAATATAGGGGGCTTACAGGCTTGTCATAATATAGGGGGCTTACAGGCTAGTCATAATATAGGGGGCTTACAGGCTTGTCATAATATAGGAGGCTTACAGGCTTGTCATAATATAGGGGCTTACAGGCTTGTCATAATATGGGTGCTTACAGGCTTGTCATAATATAGGGGGCTTACAGGCTTGTCATAATATGTGTGCTTACAGGCTTGTCATAATATGGGTGCTTACAGGCTTGTCATAATATAGGGGGCTTACAGGCTTGTCATAATATGGGTGCTTACAGGCTTGTCATAATGTAGGGGGCTTACAGGCTTGTCATAATATGGGTGCTTACAGGCTTGTCGTAATATAGGGGGCTTACAGGCTTGTCATAATATGTGTGCTTACAGGCTTGTCATAATATGGGTGCTTACAGGCTTGTCATAATATAGGGGGCTTACAGGCTTGTCATAATATAGGGGGCTTACAGGCTTGTCATAATATAGGGGGCTTACAGGCTTGTCATAATATAGGGGGCTTACAGGCTTGTCATATTATAGGGGCTTACAGGCTTGTCATAATATAGGGGGCTTACAGGCTTGTCATAATATGGGTGCTTACAGGCTTGTCATAATATAGGGGCTTACAGGCTTGTCATAATATAGGGGGCTTACAGGCTTGTCATAATATGGGTGCTTACAGACTTGTCATAATGTGGGTGAGTACAGGCTTGTCATAATATGGGTGCTTACAGGCCTGTCATAATATGGGTGAGTACAGGTTTTTCGTAATATGGGTGGGTGTAGGCTTGTCATAATATGGGTCAAAAGGGCTTGTCATAATATGTGTGCTTACAGACCTATCATAATATGGGTGAGTAGAGGCTGGTCATAATATGGGTGAGTAGAGGCCTGTCATAATATGGGTGAGTACAGGCTTGTCATAATGCGGGTGCTTACAGGCTTGTCATAATATGGGTGAGTACAGGTTTTCATAATATGGGTGAATAAGGGCTTGTCATAATATGGGTGCTTACACTGGCAGACCTATCATAATATGGGTGCTTACAGGCTTCTCATAATATACATGTAGGTGGATGTAGACTTGTCATAATGTGGGTGAATAGAGGCTTATCATAATATGGGTGCCTACAGACCTGTCATAATATGGGTTCTTACAGGCTTGTATTACAATGGGTAAGTAGAGGCTTATCATAATATGGGTGCTTACAGACCTGTCATAATATGGGTTCTTACAGGCTTGTCTTACAATGGGTAAGTAGAGGCTTATCATAATATGGATGCTTACAGACCTGTCATAATATGGGTTCTTGCAGGCTTGTCTTACAATGGGTAAGTAGCGGCTTAACATAATATGGGTTCTTACAGACCTGTCATAATATGGGTGCTTACATACCTGTCATAATATGGGTGCTTACAGACATGTCATAATATGGGTTCTTACAGGCCTATCATAATATGGGTTATTACAGGCCTATCATAATATGGGTTCATACAGGCCTATCATAATATGGGTTCATACAGGCCTATCATAATATGGGTGCTTACAGGCTTGTCTTACAATGGATAAGTAGAGGCTCATCATAATGTGGGTGCTTACAGACCTGTCATAATACGGGTGCTTACAGACCTGTCATAATATGGGTGCTTACAGACCTGTCATAATATGGATGCTTACAAACCTGTCATAATATGGGTTCTTACAGGCCTATCATAATATGGGTTCATACAGGCCTATCATAATATAGGTGCTTACAGGCTTGTCTTACAATGGATAAGTAGAGACTCATCATAATGTGGGTGCTTACAGACCTGTCATAATACGGGTGCTTACAGACCTGTCATAATATGGGTTCTTACAGGCCTATCATAATATGGGTTCATACAGGCCTATCATAATATGGGTGCTTACAGGCTTGTCTTACAATGGATAAGTAGAGGCTCATCATAATGTGGGTGCTTACAGACCTGTCATAATACGGGTGCTTACAGACCTGTCATAATATGGGTGCTTACAGACCTGTCATAATATGGGTGCTTACAGACCTGTCATATTATGGGTGCTTACAGACCTGTCATAATATGGGTGCTTACATACCTGTCATAATATGGGTGCTTACAGACCTGTCATAATATGGGTGCTTACATACCTGTCATAATATGGATGCTTACAAACCTGTCATAATATGGGTGCTTACAGACCTATCATAATATGGGTGCTTACAGACCTATCATAATATGGGTGCTTACAGACCTATCATAATATGGGTGCTTACAGACCTGTCATAATATGGGTGCTTACAGGCCTATCATAATATGGGTGCTTACAAACATGTCATAATATGGGTGCTTACAGGCCTATCATAATATGGGTGCTTACAGACCTATCATAATATGGGTGCTTACAGACCTATCATAATATGGGTGCTTACATACCTGTCATAATATGGATGCTTACAAACCTATCATAATATGGGTGCTTACATACCTGTCATAATATGGATGCTTACAGACCTGTCATAATATGGGTGCTTACTGACCTGTCATAATATGGATGCTTACAGACCTGTCATAATATGGGTGCTTACATACCTGTCATAATATGGATGCTTACAAACCTATCATAATATGGGTGCTTACATACCTGTCATAATATGGATGCTTACAGACCTGTCATAATATGGGTGCTTAACAG